TTACATATAATGTTGAAAATCATATCCCTGTTTAGATTATCCTCTGTTGTCCTTGGAAGTCCTTGCTTGACATACTTAAGGTGAAGAAGCATAATTATTGTTAAATGAAATGTCTAGTGTACGGTGCCTATGGTACATACACATTTCTACACCTGCATGTAGATCTTTTGTTACACCTTTTATCTATTAAGAATTTTTAGTTTGCAACTTGGGATTGTATACCTTATCCATCCTAACCAGAAATTACTGTCCTCCTATGTAGTGTTAATAGCTGAATGGTCTATTAAGGACTGATCTTTGCTGAGCTGAATAAAGAAGAGATGATATGTTAGGATATTTTAGGTATGATTGAGTTTTTGATGTCATTAATACACATTCAGAAATTCATGACATTCTTTTCTATTGATTAGCTGATTTCCTCAATTCAAGAAATACATATATTTCTCTCACCATGGGTCCAAGAAGTATAAACTTTTTGTTGATTGATAGTTCAGGAAATACAGATTAAAATCTTGATTGTTTCTTGGTAGAACGAGTGTTTTAAATGTGCAAGGTAAAAAAAAAAAACACGCAAGGGGCATGGTGCACACCTTTTTGAAATAAAGAAATTGAAAGTTTTCTTTGTATTTTCTTTGCTCCAAACCTAAATGCTGAGTCAATTAAATCATCCAGCTTGGTCTCATTGGGTTAGACAGTTTTTTTTTATTCTTTTTAGAATCCCTATTAACCAATCACACCGAAGCCTTGTTAAACATCAAGATCCTTAATTTTCTTAAAATCCATACATCTTACTTTGTTCTCTATTGCTAATTTATCCCTTTTCATTTTTGAAATTATATCCTAGATCCTAACTTAATCCTTATTCCAAATCCCTAAGATGCCCCCATAAGCTGTATTACATGCCACTGTATGCTATAGGCTGAAACAAAGAATATAAAGAAAGAAAGAAAGAAAGAATTTCCATCCTCCCAATAGATAGTTTGTCTTATGATTCCTATCTTGGATGGTGTAGTTTGTTTTGCCTGTCAAAAATATTGTGTTGACATTTTTTCTTGGTTTTTGTTTTTGAAGTATGGGTCCCTTCATATTCTGAAGTCATAAATGCACATTTTTATTGATTATTGCAGCTGTAAAAGCTGAATCTATTTCTCAGAAGAATGGTGGCAAAAGCACTACTGTCCCCATCATTTATAGGGTTAGCAGTTTCTGTTGCTTTTGTTGCTCTTGTACTTCGATTTCCAGTTAAATCACCAGTTCAGGCAAGGCTGTGGACTTCTGAAGAGCTATCTATGTATAATGGGACTGATAATGGGTTGCCTATCCTATTAGGAATTCTGGGATCTGTGTTTGATGTAACAAAAGGAAAGTCTCATTATGGTCCAGGAGGGGGTTACCATCATTTTGCTGGAAGAGATGCTTCACGGGCATTTGTTTCAGGGAACTTTTCTGGGGATGGACTAACTGATTCATTGCACGGCTTATCCGGAACTGAGATGAAGAGTGTTGTTGATTGGCGGGATTTCTACTTCAGAAGCTATACATTTGTTGGACACTTGGTTGGTCGTTATTATGATAATCAAGGGAGACCAACTAAATTTTTGAAGGGAGTTGAAGCAAAGGCTGCTAGAGCAGCCCAGCTTTTAGAGAAACAGAAGAAGGAAGAGGCTAAGCTTCCCAGTTGCAATTCAAGATGGAGTCAACAAGAGGGAGGAGAGGTCTGGTGTGATGTAGGCTATCCAAGATTAGTACAGAGACCTCAAGAAATTGCTTTGACTGGGAAAATGAGCATGCGGTGTGCGTGCTTCAAAGAAGAGGAACTCAGCCAGCCTGGTTTGGAGGTCTACAAGGGTTGTGATTATCTATCACAGGTTTGCCGAGTCTAACAAAAACCATTGTGTTCAACTTGTGACTGAACTTCTGTTTTTTCTGGGTGGATTGAAGTTGATGTAGAATTTTATCTTTTTATGTTATTGGGATCACTTGTAATTGAGATTTGGAGGAATAGATGGTTACGTGAAAGAGCTCCATTGCAGTCACTAGCAGTTCCAAGCATTCATCGTGTCTTGGTGTGAATGTTCTTTCAGACTCTGTAAGTTACATATTTGGAAGGCCCCAGCCTCAAGTGAAATGCCAATTTTTTGGATCTGCAATTTTGTAATACACCTTTGTAGAGTTTTTTAATAACATTGACCGTGACAATTTTATTTAAATGTTTGAAATTGTCTCATGAACATATCCACAGATGGTGAAAAATGCAACTTTATGTTGAATGGTCCAAACTGATGTATGTGAAAACATGTGGGGATTTGGAGCATCTTAATTGTTTATTTGTATATTGATTTTTTATTTGGTATTCATGGAAACAGAATGGCTAGATCTAGTACATGATCTCAATGTTGAGCTTATTGATGATTTGTAGTGAGTCTCTTTTCTTTCTAGGTTTCATAAACTTAAATTAAACCGTTTAACTGTTGGAAACTGTTTTAACCAAGGCAAGTCTTTGTTTCATCTAGCCGCAAGGAGCATTAAGCATACTACTTAGAAGATCAACTGCACCAAAATTCAGATTCTAAACCTTCAAAATAAACGTATCGAGATGGTTGATGGAGAAAAGTTTTTTTTAAGTAATTGTACAAAAAATGTCCAAATCGGATTAAGCTGATCTGTAGTACAATCAGTCTTAGTTGTGACCCATTTGTAACAGGAGAATCTCTCGTTGTGGCAAATATTCTTTTGGGGTTTTAACTGTTCAGTCCACTTCGAAATCTTAGCTCCACCTGTTTTTTAAGTGTAAAGAGGCACGAATTGCTCATGCACTTGCACTTAGAAACGTGAAAACTGTCACCAAGGTGATGTGTGGTGCGTAGTCATTGTCTCACAAAATAATTTTTTCATCTTGAAATTCGGGAGAGCAGGTAGATAGATTCCTACACAAGCTTCAAGAATAATAGTTTTTTTTTTTATTATTATTAAAAAGCCATTCAGGCGGATCCTCTAGGAAGAATCTAGATTCCTTCAACCCTTTTCTAGCTAACTTATGGGCAATTACATTTCCACACCTGCTAATATGCACAAAGTGACTAGAAAGTCTAATTGTACACATGAGAATGTCTATGCACAAAAAACTTGCGTCCAAAGCCAGGTTAACTTTCTTCGCATTCAAAGCATGGACTAACAATAAAATATCTAATTCCACCAGAATAACCTTGTCTTTGAAACTATTCAGAACTTCCAAGCTCCTTAAGATTGTTAGAGCTTTTGCTTGCATCGGAGACGTCGTAGAAGACTTCCCAAAAACAGCTGCTAGTACAGTCCCGGAAGAATCCCTCATGACAACTCCATAACCTGAGTGTCCTGGGCACAAAAAGCTACCATCAACATTCAATTTAAGGAATTCTGGCCTTGGCGCTTTCCACATCCTATATAAGACAAATAGATTAAAGCTCGGGTTTGGGTCAATGTTTTCAAAGACTTTCAGATTCCTGCTTTTCCAAATAATCCACATAGTCAAGAAAGATAGAGCAATCCTATCATTTTTAACATTTTTATCAGATGAACACCTGGTGAACCAAATAGAAAGCCACTGTTTAAAGGAGCTCAAATAACTCCCATTCAGAATTCTAATTCCCAGATGACTACCAAACCACAGCTTTAGCATGAGAACATTCAAAGAGACGGAGCATAATTGTTTCAGAGATATCGGAGCAAACATGACATGTAGCACCATAAGCCAATTTTCTTTTAACTAAATTCTCCTTTACCGCAATTGCATTTACACAACATTTCCAGATGAAGTTTTTAATTTTTTTGGTCAATTTTGGCTTTCCAAAATTCTGACCACTGACTCTTCTTTAACTCCCCATCATTTCCACCTTCTTCCCTGGAAGGATTCCTTCCACTCTTCAAGGCTTTTAGGACAAAATAACCAAATTTTATTGTATAATGTCCATTTGGATTGAGAGTCCATCTGAGCTTATCCTCCCATTGACCCTCTGACAAGTTTATACTAAGGATACTTCTTGCAATCGGGTCACAAAAATTGGCCCAAATTAATCTCATTCCATCGTCTTACATTTCCATCCAATAGATCCTTCACCCAAAATAAATTAGGATTGTTTGGTATGGGTCCTATAATATTAAAGGACTCAATATTTTGTAGCCAAGGATCTTCCCATACCCTAACCATTGTACCAGAACTTATTACCCAGTAGGCTCCTTTTTAGATGACCTCTATTGCTGCTAGGAGACTCTGCCACCCCCAAAACCCATGTTTTGAAAATTTTCTTTTTTATGTATCTGGCTCTTATCACCTTAATCCACAAGTTATCCTCTTCCTTGCAAATTCTCCAAACTTGCTTGGCTAGAAGGGCCAAGTTGAAGAGGTAAGGGTCCCTGAATCCCAAACCACCAGCTAATTTATTTCTACTCAATCTTTCCCAATAGGCCCAATGGGTTTTCCTAGTTCCTTGGGATCCCCCCACCAAAATTTTGTTTGGATGCTTTTCAACTCAATACAGACACTTTTGAGAAGTAAAATACATGACATAGTGTAATTTGGAATAGATTGGCTATAGCCTTAATCAAAACTTCTTTCCCTTGCTTGTGAGAGCATAGATTCATGCCACTTTGATAGGAGTTTCCCCACTTTTTCAATTAAGAAGTTAAATAGGGCCCTTTTGGACTTCCCAACTTGGGTAGGCAGCCCAAGGTAAATAAAGGGAGTGTGCACTCTCATCATTTTCAGAAATCTAGTTAAGATTCTTTGAATTTTGGGGAGCAAATTCCTACTGAAGAAAATTTCAGACTTTAAGAAATTTACCTGTTGACCAGAGCTTTCGTCATACACATTGATAGTGTCCAAAAGAGCCTTCCCTTCTCCCTGGTCTACCTTAGTGAATATGTAATTGTCATTTGCAAAAAATAAATGAGATACAGTTGGACAATTCTTGGTGATGGAAATACCTAAAATTTTCTTTTGGTGTACAAGCTCTATCAGCTTAGTAGACAATAGGGGCGGAGCCAGGGAGTGGCGGAGGGGGGCCATGCCCCCCCCCCCCCTCCATGCCTTTAAAATTCCCACGAGACCCATTTAAATTCCACTTATATTTTGACCTCCTTACTCATGTTTCTTAGCTTTTGGCCCCCCTATCCATGTTTTCTACATTTTGGCCCCCCTTAAGAAAAAATTCTAGCTCTGCCCCTGATAGACAAGACTTCTGAACAGAACAAAAACAAACAAGGGGAGAGAGGGTCGCCCTGCCTCAACCCTCTTTCAGGAAAAAATTTTGATCCCGGCCTTCCATTAACTATCACTCTATATGAGACTGTTGAGACACATTGCATCACCCAGTTCACCCAATTGGCCCCAAAACCTAATTTGAGAAGCACTTTTTTCTAGAAAAGGCCACTTAATTCTATCATAAGCCTTACTCATGTCCAACTTTAGAGCCATTCAGGGAGTTTTACCCTGTATTTTTCTCATAAAGTCAATTATTTCATGGGCAACTAGTATGTTATCTTGTATACATCTACCAAGAGTGAATGCACTCTGATTTTCACTAATCAGATTCCCCAAGAATGGTTTAACTCGGTTCACCAAGACCTTAGCTATAATCTTATAGACTATATTGCACAAGTAATAGGTCTGAACTGAGTAGGATTTTCAGGGTTCTTTACTTTTGGGATTAGTGTAATGTGGGTTTCATTTAACTCTCTTAAAATTCTACCTATGGCAAAAAAAATTTTAATTGCCTTTACAATATCCTCTTCTACAATTCCCCAATACTTTTGGAAGAACTGGTTTGGGAGTCCATCAGGCCCCAGAGTTTTCCTTGGAGCCATTTGGAATAAAGCATTATTTATCTCATCATCAGTTACATCTGAATCTAGAAGATCTCTGTCCATCTCATTTAACTTAGGCATCACACAGTTTAGTAAGCTATCATGGATTCTTGGGTGTGAGGTCTTAAATATTTGTTGGAAATGGTTCTTCAATTCCTTCACTATCCCCTCTTTAGAAGATACCACCTCTCCATTATCTTTCTATTCTTGCTACTCCTTCCTTTTGCAATTGAGTGAAGAAACTTTTTTTTTGTTTCCACTACTCGGCCAGTTCACTCTTGATTTTTGTTGCCACATGATTTCTTCTCTATTAAACCAGACAGCTAGCTCAATTTCCAAAGTTTTAATTTTGGCTGCATTGAAATTTTGGCCACTTCTCCTTACTTCACTATTCAGTTGGCTTTTTAACTCCATAATTTTTTGTTGAACATTTCCAAAGTTTTCCTTGTTCCATATTTTTAATCTTTCCTTCAACTTTTTGCATCTGTTGCCCAAATTAATCTGACTTGAATTAGAATTCTCACAAGTCCAAGAGCTTTCCAGAATCTTGGAGAAATCATCATGACCTGTCCGCATTTCTTCAAACCTAAACATTTTCCTTCTCCCACTTCTTCTAAAATTAGTCTCCAATAGAATTAGAAAATGGTCAAACCCCAAGGACCTTGGCTAGATAATTGTTGAAAATAGTAAACCATTGGTCATTGCATACTACCCTGTCCAATCTTGCTCTGATTAACTCATTTTGTTCTCTCCTATTTGACCAAGTGAAGAAGGGCCCTTCACTACATCTCTCTTTTAAACCACACTCATCTAGTAAAGATCTGTATTTTTGTAAGGAACATTCAATCAACACCCTAAATCAATACCCCAACAATTCCAATCCTTAAAAAATTTCAGTTTTTTCTTACAGTTCAAAAGAGAAGTTTTAGTTTCCATAAGGAAGACACAATCCACTCCTAGCTTAGCCTGGGTCTCTCTTAAAACCCGAATTGTCAAGGCTGACCCCAAGCCCTGACAATTCCAGCTTAATAGCTTCATTTCTTACCTGTGGTCTATTCCAGGACAGAACCCCCAACCCACTTTTTGGAAATGAAAATTACAGCCTCACCAACATTTGTTTTTAGTAAACTCAGTTCAATAGCCATAGCAACAAAATCAAATTTACATCCATGCCGGATTACCATTTCTTTTTTCCTCTTTTTTTAGCCTTTCCCATCTTGTTTAGCCTCCTCAACCGAAAGGTTGCTAGTTTTCTTGGAAAAAAATTCTCTCTTGGATTGTAATTTATATTAGCTCTTTCTCGCCAATATTCTCCTCTCTTTTACCCTCCTTAATCTATTTTTCCCCAACTACGAGTTTGAAGCAAGTTTGGTTCATTCTCTATGGTCTTAACTTTACAAAATAACACAGATTTACTATTAGGAGGGGTTAGAAAGCTTACCTCTTCGGCTCGAAGCTCCATCAAGTTCTTTCTGGCGTCTGCTCCTCTGTCAGTCTCCATTT